TAGTCTAAGCAAGAGAAAAAATGAAAAAAAATAGGTAAGTTTGTTAGTCTAAGGTGACCCAAACGAACAGACGTCATCTCCCCACTCTCTCGTGTGATTCACGATAATCTTTTCAAGGAAATATTCGTTCAGGGTACATAGATACTTTTGCCAGCGGCATCCACGGAAGTTTGAATTCAACAGCGCCACAACTAAGAGCGACTGACAAGTCACATGGCTCGTTGAATCCCCTACACGGCGATTCCGCCCTTTGCCATCGCACCGAGCAGATTGAGCGGACTCGTGGTGGAGTGAAAGAGTTCATATCCGGTATCAGCTTCCCGCCTCCGGCCCCGGAGTCCCGCCGATCCTGCCCTCACTGTCCCATGACCTTCGTGAACGAGCAAGGCCTTGGGATCCACGTGAGAACGCAGCACAGCAGTGCAAACATGTCCAACGGCGTGCGGCTGCGGCGGATGCTACGGAAGAATCTCGAAGGGCGTGTCCTGCCGTGGGAAGAAGCCGGGTCTGGGCGTTGTTGGCACGCGAAGGTCGATGATGCGACGGGGGCGGCTTCGTTTGTCCTCCAGCGGACGCGCTTTCTCGATCTAGACTTGGAAAGCGACGGCTTTATGGACCGCGAAACCAAGGAAACTCGTGGAGCTCCCAAGCGCAGGCGATACGACTATAGGTTTAAAGCCAATGCTGTCAACCAGCTGCGCATCCTCGAGGACAACGCCGCCGACCTCTGGAAGGAGGAGGAGCGCACGCCTCTTCAGTACTTAGAGGATCGTCTCAAGGTTCACTACAGCAACATCGTGAAGTGGGCCAAGGACGAGAAGGCCATAGTCGCGGCGGCAGCAGACGACGTGAAGAAGAGCCTCCTCGCCAAGCAGCAGCCTAAGCGGTGGTTTCCTGAGGCAGAAAAGAGGCTTTACAAGATGTTCGTGGAGCGGCGTAAGAGGAAGCTGAAGGTATCGACCCTGTGGCTGACGATCACGTTCCGGAAGCTCGTGCGAGAGATGTATCCCGGGGACCAACGGGCGGCGGCGTTCCGCGCATCCTTCAGGTGGGCACGAAAATGGGCCAAGAGGCACAACCTGTCCAAAAGACGTCGGACCAACCTCAAGAACAAGTCTGTTGAGGAGCGCTTACCAAAGATCCAGCGCTTCCACCGACTGTTTCGCAACCNGCTGAAGGTATCGACCCTGTGGCTGACGATCACGTTCCGGAAGCTCGTGGCGAGAAATGTATCCCGGGGACCAACGGGCGGCGGCGTTTCGCGCATCCTTCAGGTGGGCACGAAAATGGACCAAGAGGCACAACCTGTCCAAAAGACGTCGGACCAACCTCAAGAACAAGTCTGTTGAGGAGCGCCTACCAAAGATCCAGCGCTTCCACCGACTGTTTCGCAAGCTCCTGCAAGAGCCGGTACGGTACAGGGCGCCCGATGAGTCGGACGTATCAGCGATTACGACGGTCGCAGAGGGAGTCCAGAGTTCCCAATTATGGCCAATTCCAGCTCTGGGAGCGTTGGAATGTGGATCAAGTGCCTTTGGCATTCGTAAACGGGCTACTCGATACGTGGGAGGAGCGAGGTGCGAAGCGTGTCGCCATCTCACAGCCCTTTCCTGGCCCAGAGAAAAGGCAGTGCACCATGCAAGTCATCTTGGTCCGGGTGAGAAGACCTTGCGAATTTCGGTGATTTTCCGAGGCACGGGGAAGCGGATCTCGCCGGTGGAGAAGGCCGCGTACCACAAGGACGTGGACGTGTTTTTCCAGGAGAATGCTTGGGCCGACCAAAACTTCTGTATGGAGTGGGCTACGAGGTCCTACCGCGAAGGCCTGATGCGCGGGCGGGGTGAGCTTCCCAAGGCGAGGTCCATTCTTATCATGGATAACTTGCACGCGCAGACGACGGACGAGTTCAAGGAGTATCTTGCGA